ACGATATGCACTCAATTCCTTGGCAAAATCTTTTTGCTAAAGAATTGAGCGCATATCGTAATGCTATTATGATAGCCGGATCTTTTTTCTTCTTGAAACTCATATGACTGAATACCATGAAATGGCTTATCCATGGTTCATCACAGAACTTATGATTGAAAAAGAATTTCGTTGTCTTGACTAAGATATTTGAAATGGAACTAATTTTGGAAGAAACCAATAATGACGGAGCTGTCTGCATATAGCAATAAACGAAGAGACAGTATCATTCTGTGGTCATGTAACGATGTTCGTGCAAATTTGAAGAAGTGATTGCGTTACATTTTGCAAGATACATTTCTGCATTAGGATGTTGATCTTGCAACAAAATGGATGTATGGCGTTTGTTTTTGTGATGAAAAGAGTGGGCAGCAGAGGTCAAAGAGTGTGGGGCACTGCTGCTGTTGCTGCTTATATGCTCGCTGCTCGACATGGCTGCACTGGCACACCGCATTGCGCAACTTGTGTCAGCGCGCTTCCCTTCCCAACAACAACCCAATCTACCTACATCATTGCCATTCTCGATCACCGTTCGCCAACCTTATGATCACATTTGGCTGTTTTTAGTTTCGTATTTTCTTGTCAAATTTCCTCATCCAAAGCTTCTTGTACTGATGAAAAATTTCGCCACTTCACTCGATAAACTGTCGCAGTATTCGAATTGAGCAAAATTTTTTCTTTTACTGCAATAATGTGAAAGTTACGATAATGACTTATTGTGCATTCGAATCCGCCTCGCTAGGGAACGTGTTGAGCATTTAATGGAGTTGGATCAAGGATCAATTAATTGATAATTTGATAAACGAAATAATCGTGGTAAAATATAGCTGTCCCATGCATAGTGTCACTTGTCATTACAAATCATTGGTTGCGTTCGTTTTCTATAGAAGAGTAGTTCTTAGAAAGAAGAAATAAGCAGATGGTGGATATAATAATCTAAGGAGGGAGGGCATCGGGGCGTGGCAGAGTTGGATTGAGGGATACGAGAAAAGTGTTATGGAAACGGAGAGAGTCAGGGAGATATTAATGGGATAGGAGGAATAAGCCGGGAGGGTTGATGTAAGGGAAATGGTAATATGAATGCTGGTAAGAGTGATGACAACGCTAAATCCAAATCTCGTCAACATCATTTATTCGTTCGCTGGTCATCGCATCAGTCTCATCATCGACAACCTCACTTCCAAAACAAACCTCAAATTCGTTTCTTCGTTTCACATCGCTCGAAAATTTACTTAACTTTCCGTAACAGTCGCTTTTGAATGTTCCCGGTAGTAACGACTGCATTTTCCCGGACCGTTAAAGATTTCCACTTCATTTCTCACCATTAATTTTGACGCAACGATGATAAGTTTGCGCAATAAAAATCTGATCGTAAGCATCTCTGTGATAATGACTGAGGCACTCTCGAATATGTTCACTTGTATTTTCGATAAATCATTGCACATAATTATTGTTTCTTCTTATTTGATGGATTACTGTTCGCGAGTCTTATTAGTGGATAGGATTTTAGTGAATGTATGATCATCATTGTTTCTTATCAGCGATTCATCGTGATTCTTCTCATTCACTTATTTCGAAACCATTTACCACTCAACGACATCTAACGTACCGGTTTCGAATTATTAGCAGTAACTAGTGATCATTAGAAAACAAACTACCTGCGGAATATACTTTCGTTAGTTTTCAAGGTTATATTGAACAACAAAGATTGAGTTGGTGTACAAGATGAATTATGACGAAATTCATGTTTCTTTCAATTACATGCACTGATCATCACCGTAAAGTATGCATCAATCATTTGCGGTTAATTGTTGAAATTACAGGAAAGCACATTGATAGGATAAGTGACCATTCAAGTATTGCAGATTAAATCAAAAATAATAATTCGATATTGAAATGTGCAATAAAAGGCAAAAGTGAAATGAATAAAGAAGCAATATATAATAATGGTATTATGTGGTGTATATGTCCAGTTTAGGATTGATGCACAATGTCAATGTTGTGCTTGTATTATAAGTTTTTTATATGTGTGACCATATAGACCTTATTGAAGAGTGCGCAACTTTTTTGTGCTTGTCAGAACCACCAACATTTCGATATTCCTCCACAGAGTCACTCAAGAAGCATACCAACTACCAAAATACTGCTACTGCCTTCGCTTATTGCCAGCCAGCAATTCGTCCTCGCATTCTATATTTGTTCATATTTATTTCTGATACGTATTGTTTATTATTGTTATCATTATCATTTTTATTATTCCTATCATTACTATTATTGTTATCATTTTTATTAGTACTGTTACTGTTATTATTTCTTGTTTTTTTTNTTTTTTTTCATTTTTGCGATCATAAATTAAGCGATGTGAACTTAAAATAAAGCGATGTGAACTTTATCTAGATTCTGCTGTAGAATTTCAATTTCACACAGATGATTAAAATTGCGCGTAATTGAATGATCTCGTTTCATTGTCATATTTTATTGATATGATATTTGCACACTTTCGCTTCAAAGAAGTTATATAAATATGAATTTATTTCTTAAATGGTAATTATTTTTATGGCTGAATAATACGTTTATGAGCACGCCGCGACATTCCGAAGTTCATTGTGGTGCTGCTTCCTGAAATATTGCAGCTTTTGGCAGCAAAATGTTATCCCTATGATTTCACCTACAAAAACGCTTTAAAGCAACGTGAATGAGTATTTTCAATGGCATAAGCACCTGTTTTCTGCTTGAGGTACATGAAAATTATCAGAGGGAATTCTTGATCAATACAGCTGGTCGAAAATTTGAGAAGAGAGCATAAAAGTCCTAATCAAAGCGCTTGTTGGCAAGAGTTCTCGAGTTTTCGGGAGAGGGTCGGTGCGTGTTCATCCATTTCTGCCATTTGCGTACACCATTGATAGCGGCTATACCGCTTGTTTCTGTCATATTGCGTTCTCAAGCAACAGAATTAAATTCACTGCATAGTGGGAAACTGATCGTGATGCGTGATTACATCCATTATGCTCTACCACTGTTCCTCACTTATCACCTAGGGTTAAATAATCACTAAAATTACAATAGTTTTTATGAAGACGTAAGGGATTCCTTTTTTTNTTTTTTTGTTTGCGACTGAATCCTCTTTCTTTTCAAATTTCCTTTAAATTCATTTAAACATCCTGTTACAAAATTCGTTTTAAAGAAATTCTTATGAGAAAGAAGTAATTAATGATTCAAATGTGATGCTTTTTGAGATGAATAGCACATCTCAGTTTCGCCATGTTCTGCTTCAATGATTCATCCTCACAAATTCACTCGTATTACTTGCCCAAGTGAACGAAAACTCCCGTGATCGGGTAAATTTGCCTTCCCAATTGACGAATTCGAACTTCATTTAAAAACTGGCTGGTATCAGTAAAGAGCTCGTGTATGTCTTTGTAGGGAAATGGCATCCTCTAACAAAACATATACCAAACAACAAGCGAGTGCTATATGGGAATGACCCTGTGGCATACGAAAATATGATATACATTCTCCTTGAGGAAAATATTTGGGAAGTATATACACAACAAACCTGACTTATACACTGGTTGACTACCCTCAAACATTCTCAGTTTCGCTCTCATTGTCAGTGAATCCATCAAAATCGCAAGATTGATATTTAAACCACGATATTTTACTATAGTTATTTAAATTTTCAAATGGTTTGAATTGGTATTGTGTTGAGCAACCAGCATCTCATTTGTCTCGTTTTCAACGGAATTGTCACTCTGAAAGTTTTACTGAATGTAAGCAACGAGAATAAAAGCTAATAGATCAAGACCACTAAATCATCATAACAGGACATCTCTATCCGTTCTGATCGTATCCTGTTGCATGGATGATGCATTAGGCGCATACAAATACACATTTGCAAAGTGTCGTAATTTGCTTGAGGTGACCATTGCATTTGAATGATTGCAGATTTGTATTTCACGCTCGATTTGGGTGTAATGCTAGTTAGCAATCCTGAGGGATTCCGAATGCGAATCGCTGACGCAACATCCAACCGACCAGAGTCCCTGACTTAGATAGCGTCCAAAATTTGTTTAGCGTCATCGGATCTGTGACTGGAGTCGTCTGGATTGCTCGAATCGGTAACGGATGACAACGTTACGTTTCTTACAGTGAACGTTTTTGATCGACGAATTAATGGCCGCAGTGAATTCTTGAGAGAATCACTGAATTCATCACTGCGTTGAATATTGAATGTTCGTTACAATGGTAAACCGTTCCGTAGACTTGCAGCCGTTTTTTATAGTCGCAAAAATTGATTGCCGATGATTGAAATAGCTTTTGTGGTATTTGGTGCCAGCCGATTGATTCTTTTTTGAAATTGTTATTTGTTGTTGATTTGATGTAATATTAAAATAAGGCGTTATTTGTGTTTATTTATTCACGTCTCTTACTGATCGATACATTTTGCTTTTTTTTAGTATATTGTCGATTGATTGGTAATCCATCGTTATTGTTATTATCATCATGAATGTTATTGTTGTTTCTATCGTCATCATTACCATCACACTTACTTAATCAGCACTATTTTTCGATTAATAAACGCAATCATTATCTATTTTTCATTAAGTAATTATTATCCTGTATGAGTAGCTTTGATTACTGTTGATTTGATTACTTTAGAGTTCATATGAGTGACTGCGAAACAGTATCATTCGTTTTTTATTACATTTAGTAAAGTTTAATAATGAGTAAGTTTTTTAGGTTGAAAATTGATGGTTTCCATTGGGAAGTGATGATTCATTGAGTGCATAAAGTGGCATATATTGGAGAGGTGTGAAGAACTGTTGCACACAATTACTGCGGTACTGCAGACGATAAATTGAATTAACCGAGAATATTTAAACGATTACTGAAATCCGAATGATAATCGCTTGCAAAAAGTATTGAAGCAAACCGAACAATTAGAAATTGGCGAGTGGAAAATGACGGCAAGTTTGGATCAACTGGCTGCGGTCGCGCAGTTTGAATTAAGCACCAAAATGCAGTCAATAGTTGATATGTATGGTGGTAATGTTAACTGTGATAAAAACAGTGAACAAATCAACGAAAATCATCAGCAATGGTCGATGAGCAACGGTGATATATCAAAGCATAATGTTATGGCTACGAACGATAATGATGCGGTTAATGTCACTGATAATGGCAGTGATACGCGGTTATCGTCTCCACAAAAACACACTCTTCAATCTGTACGATCTCAAGTTCATTTCGTTCTTATGCCACCGTTTTCTTAATTTTCGCTCGAATGTTCTGCTACCGAGGCGTGCGTTTTCGATGACTGAATTAATCCACCAAGCGATGAAATATCATCAGAGAGAAGCGAGCTATTCACAGACTTTCATTAAGAGTTGCTTCGATAAAACTGATGTCCGCGAGCTAAATCATTCATTTCAGAATACCATTTCCAGTTCTCCGCGTGAAACTTCAACCGTTAACACACAAATACCCATTCCTGCTACCTTATCATCTTCTATACCACCGGTTTGTAATGCAGCTCTTTTTTCTCAATATATGAATGCCAGTCAAACGATTTCAATAGGCTAATACCAAGCTTTTGTTCCTCCATTCACTCGAATAAAGTTATTTCTGATCAGTTGCAATAAGCGATGAAACTGATGAGTTTATGTTGCAAAAAAAGAAATAATTGTACCTTTAAGGATTTACCGTGCTCGGTGATTGTTCCATCATCGAGTCTATCAGATGACACTGAAGTTGCATCGCACACTCCAAGCAGTGTTGGTACAAGTCCGTCCTTATCGAACGAAAGCCATCATCAACACGATGTTGTCTCAGCTGGTACGTTGCGATCTCATACGACTTCGAATTGTTTTTGAAAATCATTCTTGACGTGAATAAATTGAAAAGAAATCATTTCTTGAAGTGAATAAATTTCTTCGGAAACGATTTGGTGATAGAATTCATCTTTGTTCGTAACTCGTCCATAATTTGTTGGATATTCCAGTTGATAGTTCGTCAACAACTCAACAAGCCACACAAATGAAGGATTTATTGAAAAATGAGACAAATGATTCTTTCAAAGAAGACGACAGTGACAGTTTAACTCAGTCAGGTAGAACTAGTGTTGACGAATCAAAACAAGGTGTTATCGCTACCGGTGCTCGTTTCAACAGGTTCATTTCTATTTCATACCTCATTTATTCATCCTTTGTTAGCACTTTTCGGTTTACTCTAGTATTGCTATTATTCTGCTGATTATTACTGTGATTTCAAGTTGAAGACTTTGTAATGCGTTCAATTTTACAAATACATATCGATCAGTGTGTAACTGTTGAAAAGTTTAAGTTTTGCTGAATTCGAATATGCGTTTGATTTGTGGAAACAAATGTATCATCATCCGTTTCGTGTCGCAAGTTCGGAGACACTGAGGCAGCCGGATGGAACAACGAACGATACGTTCAAGTATCGTTATATCGTTTATCATTGTGCACATTACGGACAACCCAGAATGAGAGGTTTGTCTTTTTGATTCGTTTCTACATTTTACCATTTTCTTATGAACTTACTTTTTCATTATCTTTCAACTTCGTTTTTTTGTTCATTTGCACTGCTTTTGTGTATCGAACATCATCGTGCGCATTCTACTTGTAATCTGCATAATCACTGAATGTGGTGTGGAACAACTCGCAGTTATAATTCACAGATTTAGTAGTTTATAATCGCACGATATTCGATCCAAATTGTTCCACTTTGAAGAACTCTTTGATATCAAATGATATTTACCTTCTACTTCTTTACTAGCTAACACTGAAGCACTCATCTAAACTCAGTAATCTAACGTTGTAGGTAGCTGTAATGTAGGAATCTAAACCAAGTATTATTATATCATTCATTTGTGGATTGCGCATGTTGTTGAAAATTTCGTGTAATTGTGGCAGACGGCGTTTATGTTTTGTACGAGACAGTTGAGACAGATTGTATGAGCCGGTTGCGGTTAGATGAAATAGAAATCGGTTGCTCTCTCTGAGTCATGCCCATTTGTATCACAATCACCCCGATGACAGTTGATCTGCACACAACACAATACAAACAACCAACAAATAATCGTCACTTTCAATGTCATCATATATCTTATAACACTTCTTCGCATTATTTTTTGCGGGTAGTGCATATATCATAAGGTTGATATTATAACACGTTTATGGGTTTAATGCCAGCTGTCATTATGCATATGTATCGCGCATCTACGCATATGCGATGAATGTCTACGAGTTTGGAGAATACCATTCAAATTATTTTTACTTGCTCTATCAAAGAGGATTAAGCCGTATTTTGATGAGAATTGCACGTTTTCTTACTGACCGTCAAATACAACACTTTTAGGCTTCTCCGAAACTACGTGTGTGGTTTTTTTGAAGTGTGAAAACTAGAAATATATTCATCAATCTTTGAATATTTCCGATTGAACCTTTTTGATGTACTTATCACCTCGAAAGGAAAATGCGTTCACTCCATCACGTTCGCCAGAAATAAACTTGAAATGATTCGCGAGACAGATCTGAACATGTTTATGTGTCTAATTAGTTATTTGATATCTTTATTTATGCGCTTTCTTTTTGTATTCAGCATAGCCATTTCTGGCGTAAAATTTAAAGAATTTCATTTCGTCGATGTTAATAAATTTTCCCGCTTTATATGAATAAAATCGTTTNCCTGATAATCTTTTTCTTAGGCTATCATTTTTTCAAATTGTCAGCATTCTAATCGAACGAGAATATTTCATTGAAGCTGAAGTTTTTTCACTCTTAAATGTCAATTGATGCTGTTAAGAAACCGTCCTTATCCTTACTACTAGAGATCTGAAAGTATTGTTCGAAAAGTTCGTCGCATTTTGAAATACTAGTGTTAATTTAGTAACAATTCGCATGCTCACTCACGAAAAATTCCTATACTGAAGAGCGAAATGAAGATAATGAGAGAACAATGCATTAGGTTATGAGAGGATAGCAAGCGTCAATATGCTTAAAGCGTATTAATAATCGTTTTGTGATGAATTTGAAGGTCATTTATGAGGACGAATAAATAATATTTCGAATGAGTGATTGTGGGGATTAAGGGCTGGATTTGTTGAACAGTAACAGCTGTCTAGCAGCGATTTATTTCGAATGTATTGGCGTTTAAGAATCAGCACCAGCACATCCCGGCGTCTGTCCACGCAGCAGACTGTACAACCAATCGGTCAAGGCTGCACCTGGCTCGATGAAGATGACATCTTTATAACATCATTATTACATGCTTTCATTTTTGTGGCTTTGAACGTTTTACATAATTTCAGTATGCACAGTCACATAACAGCTGCTCGTAATGACTGTACGTAATCACTGCAGATTACAGTCATTATACACATACAGATGCATGCGTTTAATGCTCGTTGAAATTCTTGTATAAGAATTACAGATGGAGCATTATTATAAGCTATCATTTCGAACATTTGCCACTTGAATGAAGTATTATCTTGGAGCAGATATTATAGGTGATGCTCAGAGGATTCACATTACTGATGAAAAGAGTGATCATTTTTAAGAACTAGGCATGTTCGAAAGCATTTCTAACGTTGAGAGGGATCTGAAGAACAATTTCAAGACTGAGAACAACAGGCAAACAGAACAAAAAATACCTGTTCTGTTGATTGTGATATTTCAAGCTAAACCCATTCGTATCATAGTTTAAAGCAACGAAGTGATTTCAGTGAATATTCAGTTGTCTTGTAACAATGAAAAGGAATCTTTATGAGCTATCAGCAGGTTCAGCTAATTAACAATAATGAATCAATAGCAAACGATTGTTGATGTATCATTCACATAACGAGTAACTCATTAGTAAATCAGATAATCTGTTTTAATTCTTATAACATCTCAGAAACTCAACGCTTCTGTTCATTATCATTCGAATGCATTCACATTAATTCTCGACCAAACAAGCAATACTCTTGTATCACTTGCAGTCTAGACCAAATCAGCAGTCCTCCAGTTATCAAGTCATTATGTAGTGCATTGTCTTCCCTCCAACCATCATTTCTGAGTTGATCTCCGTTGGTGTTATTTTCAGTCTTTTAGAATTTAGAAACAATATTTTTAAAAACTTTCACTAACCGTAATCTATCCAGTTTTTCATTCCAGTACAATAATCACATTACTTATATCGAATTTCTTCGTGGCTATCACAGCAATTAATTTTAACTGCCTTCTCATGCATAAATTTCTAATAAATCATCCGTTCACTGTAAGTGATCCAGACATCAATCAAAATGAAACGTGATCTGATTAGAGTGACCAATTGGAATCATTATCAGTTAATGGTTGAAGCACATCTAATTATATAATAACGGTCATTTACTTTTGTTGACACCTAATTATTGCATCTCTCAACTGCCAGCTGCCTTGTGTCTGTATACTCACAACGAATATTTATTAATAGTGATGGCATTCGAGCGAAATTTCATGTCGACCCGAATGCGATCGACATGAAATTCTATCATTCGACATTCGGAATTCCCACCGACCTTCCAACTTGTTCGTTTGGAATCCGAATGTGGAAATTCCGACCAAAATTGTCGGGTTCCTTCGCTGACCGTCGGTCGGATGCCATCATTATTTAATAATGAGGAGAGAGAAACTGTCCGCTGATGATTGTATTATTCACAATTGATGGAATTCCTTCCGAAATGAAAATTACCGTCCAATTTTCTGTGATATTCAATGAATTTTTTGGGCGAGTATTCGTATTATTTAGAACAGCGTGAGGGATTGTTTCCAGGATGATCGATTTTAGTGAACAAAGAAAACAAAAAAAAAAATTTTTTTGCTATTGTCAAATGCGTTTTGTTCAACAAAGCAAATGTGCATATCAAGTGAGATGATCTCGTTTAATTTTTTTGGATTGTATGCATATGGCCGAAGCATTCAGCAAGAAATATAGACAGCCGAAAGGAGTATGCGTTTGAATGATTGTAAACATGCGTTGCACGACGATTGATACTCAATATCATATCAAATTGATGGTATAAACCAATAAGGACAATGCACATGCATAGATCTACGACTGCAGCTGCCGAGAATAAAGCTGTATATAAGGATGGATATAAATTTATACGAGTGCACATTTATCACTCGTTGAAATGAATCTATTACAGCGTTCGCTTTTGATTCAGCACACAACTGAGAACAAAGAGAATTACTGTCGTGCAATTAAATGGCTTTTAATAACCACAATTGTTTCGTTTGAGTTGATAGTTTTCCTAACGTTAAGCTTGAGTCATTCCATTGAGCGTATTGAAAGTGCGGACGGATTCATCTTTGGAGCACTATGAGATCTGCGTTTAAACTTTAGCTTATGAGCATATTTCTCGTAATTATGCGAAAATTATGTTGGAATCAGAAAAGAGTTCAATTCACTTATCAACAAAAACAGATATTTGTGGCTGACAAATAAATTCGCAAAAAAATTTCCTCAATTCATGAGTGTGAAATTGTGAGAAAACACAATAACCACTGATGTTGTGTTTGTGAAGAATGGAATGAATGAATGCATGTGGACATAGATGGAACGAGAAAAGAGGTTGTTTAATGCTAAATGTTCAAGATAGCGCTGACAGTATGAGCCGAAACTGAATGGTAGTGGTCAGTTTGTGGTATAAAGCTGTCTGTCCAGCAGCTGTTCCTTCATCATGATTTGATGCCGCTTACACATTAATATATCCATCTCTATTATAATATGTCCTTATCTCTATGGACTGCACTTGATGCGATTATCATCTATTAACATCACTTTTAATGCACCAATCATCGTTATTATCATCTTCTAGTCACACTTCAATGTCATTCGTGAAAACGCACTCATCGCATCACCATGTCATGCATACAAATACACGCATACCATCTGATAAACTTCTTTTTTGATCACATACACACATCTAATTTTTTATCGAAAGAGTAAAATGAAAGTTCAACTTTTACACTGTTGATCAAGTCGCTAGCACTAGCAAGTTAGACGTAGTCAATAACAGTCGGAGTGAGCTGTTGATTTCAGCAAATCGATACCAGGTGACAGCTACATAACAGTAGAGCAAGCAAGCATTTATTTTCTGTTCCAAGTTACGTAAATGTTGTTGAATCTAAGAACATAGACCTAACGATCTCTTTAGCAAAGAACTTCTGGGCATTTTTTTGAACAGTAAAGAATTTTTAGTTTTGGTTCGGCTTTTGTCTTTCGGTTGAACCATCGGCATTAGGCGTCTTATTTGAACTCGAATAACTCCTGTTGAATCTTATGGAACAATGAGAAGGAATACACACATGCACAGTAAGGTCAGGTCAAGCTTGGATATGTGTATGTATATGCTACGTTGTCATTAATAGCAGCAGCGCTACATTAATAGATAGAGCGCATGGCAACAGGTGGTTAGCTGCTGGGTTAAGAGCGCCACCCGTATGACTGAATGTGGCTTACACTGAATGATCTCTTTTGGCTATTGTAATCTCAATGATGAATGAATTAATGAATACGTTCGCTTATTCGAATATGAATATGACAACCACTCATTATGGTATTATAACTTAGTAAGAGTTACTTATTTTTGGTCGCTTCTGGATGAGGGGTCCAGTCGTCGTTTATTTATGAAGAACGAAATTTGCTCTTCGAACATTCTCAGTTTCAGATACTATAATCGAGGATATCACTACTTGGATACTTAGGAGACTTCCACATTCAAAATTTCGCACTCAGTAGAGATATTCATAATGTCAAATTATCATCAAAATCATTGAATACGTATGAGTTGATTTCATACCCTTCTTCGAAGGCATCTTTAGATAGCTGTCACATTACGATCGCCTGCTTTGACGAAATTTCAGTTTCTTATTTTTTGTCAATAAAAACTTTATCATTTTTACTGACGTTCTTGAACCATTTCGAAAAAGAAAATGTTTAGTTGAATTCGAATGGTNCTGCTGCTAAGACAAACGGTTGTTTGCTGTGCAGTATTCTTTGCCAATGTATGTCATTTCTTTGAAAAAGGGCACAAGGGGTGCTATATAATGGTGTTTATGTGCACTCTCGAGAAACTAACTAGCAGGCAGTCAGGCCAGCATAGCATCTGGCGGGTCACAGCTGATTGCACCCAACACCAAAAACTGACCCCGTGAAAGATGTGAATGCACTCATCGCAAAATACACTCACTTCTGCCTTGTCTCTCTCGTGAACGCTCATTCTCTATTCTAAAACCATCAATTCATTTGTCATATGTTCAGCTTAGATGAACACTTTTCACCCCATCATCCCCTTCATAAAAACTATCCCATTCAAGTACACTTGCTGCTGGTCATTATCGACGGGACAGATTGTCTTAATAAAAATGCACATTATAGTGCTTTATTTGACTGTAGAAATAAGCTTTCTGCGATATGTTACTAATTAACAAATCAACAACCTGTGGTAATTTTTGGTGCTTTGCTTTCATCTGCGCCGATACGAAACACTGATTCTGGAGCGATGAACACGAAAGTTCACTCAAATCTTAATCGTTTTCAAAATAAACTATTTACAAATTACCGTTTTCTCGAATGAATTCTAAAATTGAGAAGCATCAATACATCCATCAACACACAATCCAACTAAACTTTGACTGGAACTGAAAATAATCCGCACAAAAGATTTCGTTCTGCACAAAAACCGAGCAAATTTACGTCAAATTACAGTCATTTCACGGTGATATGAAATTGCAAATAATGAATAAACCATACATAATTGCACAACTCAACGACTAATCCATCGATTGAACGGAAATAATCATCAGTTCAGCAAAGGATATCGTAATGATGACGAAACAAAAACAATTTATGCAGCATCATAAAGAACTGAGAAATGAGAACAAAGAAATGCGATTAAGCAATTATATTTGATTTCATGTGAGTGCCTTTCAACTGCTACTGCTATGAGACGCGACAGTATCGTTATTCATCGATGAGTAAGCATCGAATCGATGATATATCCTCTAGGGAATCGACTTCGATAATCGCACGGTTCATACAGAATGAAATTTGTTTGAAAGGGGAATCGTTAGAATAACATTTACTTTATAACAATAGCAATAATAACAACAAGTACATGTGGAAGTAGTAATTTAGTGAGTTTTGAAATTGATGGAATGGATTCGATGCGTAGAAATATTTGAAGAAATCGTATGAGTGTTGTCGGTGTGTTTTGTAAGAAATTTAAATATAAGGTTTGTTGTTTAGAATTGAGATGAGTTTCTTTGTATGGAGTTCTTTAATGGAGGTGTTGTGGTACTTAATTAGAGACTAGGACTGTAATAAATGTGCTGCTTAGAAGCGTTTGTAATGATGCATCATCTACTAGAGCAGGTGGCACGCTTCTTCTTTTTTTGCATTCCATTCTCTCATTTATACGAACCAGCTGAAATGTCGCGGGATAAACGATTGAAATTTTTCGCTCCTCTCAAATTATCCTTTCTTCACATTCGTCCAAGTAACAGAAATATGCTAGCTCGGGATGCATTGTGACTAAGCAATTGGGAATGCCTACAAAACAATGTGTTTTGTGATCGAATATACGATGATCTAAAAAAACATTCAAAATTTTGTATTGACAACACCAGTGAGAAACATTTTGGAATTATTGTTTCCAAAACAACGCATTACAAATATCGTTCAGTTGCTCATGATCTGAAAATCAGTACAGATCACTGATGATGATGGTGTTCAAGAAACCGATAACCTACAATTTCTATTAAATGAAAGATAATAATACCAAACAGATAACCGTTGTAAAATCGACACTAACTTAAGTGAATGCCAACTAAATGAATCTAACAAGTGTAATATCAGAATGAATGTTTAGGAATTGGTAAACGACCGAATCAAAACTATTTACCTTGTGGATGTCGTGCAATGCTGAGACTGAATTTCAATTGGGCTGAAAACGCTTTACGTATAACGACGCTGAATGATCAACATACGGGTCACGATCTGTCTGCAGACAGCTACGCGAAAATCGCATGTAAAATAAGACGCACAAGTCCATCGATCAATAATCAAGGTTTTTTTTTAATGAAACAATATGGAAACTTTATGACATGGGATGTCCCGCATGAAGCATATTCCTTTTTGTTTGGTTTATACATACTGTCGCTATTGTGAGTGATTTTTGTCAGGGGATATTGAACCATTATGAGCGTTTTTTGAAATCTTCTAAATTGCGTTGAATTGATGATGCATTCATTGAAATGGTTTTATCGATGAATTTGTGTTTATTTTTGTTAAAACTTATGGAATTTCAATTGCAGAAAAGAGTGCATCGGTTAAAAGACCGCAAGCGCAATATTCAGTGAAAAATGACTGGAATGAAGATAGAAGAACGGTGAAAGGAGATGGCGAGGGAACACCTCAAGCTCGGACCAATACCAACACTCCAAGTTCGACAACAACACCGAACTCATCAAGAAGCAAAACACCGCTTTCATCAGTTGTTCAAAACGGTTCCTCGGTATCGTTCAAACAAGGTGCTTACCTTCGTTTTCACTAATCTTTTGTGTCATTCGAAAATGGCTATTTCCGATTATTTCTCATTTTGAATGATTCACCAATAATTTTGACCCTTACCGTACCATTGCATTATCTCTCTCTCTCGAGCTTTTAAAAATTTTATTCACTCTGAATTTATTCGACTCCCCTGTCGTGAGGTTTAGTTTACGCAAGTGAACTAGCCGTAAAGCAGAGTAACGATGTAAACCTAAGTGGTAAACAGTGTAAACACTCGTTTCCTTCTACCCAACGATTTTACACACGTTCTCTTGCGATATTTCATAATGCATGGAAAAGCTTCATGTCAGTTTTGTTTCAACGTGATAAATACTGATCGGGTTTGCAACAGAATGGAATGCAAAGAGAATCGGCAGCCTAGAATATGGTGTTCATTTCAGATGCCTCAAATACAGTACCTCCACAAAACAACTACGGTAACAACACAACATCACAACACCAACAACAAAACCAACAACAGCAACAGTATAATGCACTTCAGAATTTAGCAGCAGTTGCAGCCGCAATGAGTCATCAGCAGCAATTAGCAAATGCTCTGTTCACGAATCATAAAGAAAATATGAACAACAACGCCAATAATTTCTTGTCGTACCAAAATACTGCGTCACCTTTGATGCAGTCCCTGAACAACACCACAAGTCCACACATACTTCCTTTGATACGGGTTCGTTATCATTTTCGCATTTGTTTTATCCGTTTTCACTATTCAACTTCAACTGCACAGATACATCCTTATTCTCGTTGTTTGATCCTCTTACGTGTTTAGAGCAGCGTTTGTTCATCGTAGACACGAAAGAATGTGATGCGATTGTTATAATCAAAATTCAATGAACAGTTTCATTATTTGTCAATAGTTCAGAAAATTCTCTTGTTGAATTTTGTAACATTAAGTTGACAGTTGTCAACATTAAGCGCAAAAAATGTTTTCAGGGAATGTTGGGTTTATCGAACTTTACATCGCCATTACTGATGCCGTCATTGCAACAGCACCAACCACAGCAGTCGTTGATCGACTCTCCACAAATGCAACACCAATCAAATTTAATCAATTCGTCCAATCAAATGTCATCATCTCCGTCATCAACTCCAATCAATCTCAATATACCACTCACACAGTCACTCAATAATACCTCTGTAAACACCAACAACCTGAACACTTCTATGTCTAATATTATGAAGAGTACCACAAATAGAAGCGTTGCTGATAGCATCCAGCAGCAGTGCTCGTCGTCACAATATTCTCCACTGGCCTCTTCATATATACCCGCATCCCCTTCCAATGAGCATCTAACTGCAGCCATAACTCTCGCTCAGCAACTGCGTGCCCAACAACAGCAGCAACAGATGATGGTACCTCACATAGCGGTCCCAGCCCCGTTGCAATCGAATATTCCTCCACAGTCAATAAGTTCACTAATCTCTTCCTTACACGCTACTATTCCCACCTCGCAAGCATCCACTCCAATTGCCAACAATACAGCTGCGCTCACAACACCCATCGATCTATCTACACAGACACCCATAACCACCGCATCCAATATTAATTTATCAAGCGATCAACAACGCATTCAGGTAGTAGTTTCGTATCACGCGTTCTCATTTATCAGACTACGCCTGAGTCGGTGATCATACTTTGGAAGTATTCATTGAGGTCACTGATGTTGTTGTTATTTTAAGAATGATATTTGAGGGAAACCGCTCGAAACTTGATGTAAATCCGGCGAACGTGAGTGTGAAAGTCTCGATATTTTCAGGAGGTGAATAAAGTTCTACAGTCATTCATCACATCGTTGCTGCAATCGCCAAACGATGACGAATACAAACGAAGATTGTTCTATCTGAAATCACTTCATAAAATCTGGCAAAACGCTAATTTCCAATTAATGTCGTCAACAGGTGCATTCCCTGTAGAATCACTCTCACTGGGTAATCAACCCACCGGCCAAACGACAGTCATCTCATCGTCAGACAAATCCAATGGTACACTACAATGCGGTACTCGACTTGACAATAATGTCTACAGCAGTGAAACTTCTTGAATTCCTTCGTTTTATTTCAACCGATTCATTTCGGTCCTAAGTTAAAGAGAATGATTTTGGAATCGAAAATATCTCTAAATAACTTCAAATAATTTGATAAATGATGCTAACCGTTCACAAATAATATTACCTCTTTTCACATAGACCACTTCCAAAATTCAATCGTTCGCTTCACGCAAAGCATTGTAAGGGAACACTTTTCCGGATAGATCACTCTGTTCGTTGAACTGAGTGGAACATGAACGGTTCGGATGTATTGACTAAATTATCGCTGATTATCAGGCAAACGAGATTTATATCACAATCAACCAAACTGATTTCGTGATGATTGTTTTGATGACTGCTTGAAGATATTATTATAATGTTCATTTTGTTTCATTTTCATTGTTTCTAGTTTCGTAAACACTGATATTGACAATGTAAATAGGAATATGAATGGAATATTCGCGTAACGTTATTTTTATAGTTACGATTTCGCGTAATAACTTTGTGGTATTCGCATAAAAATGTATCATAGACGATGAGTTAATGTTGTTTTTACGAGTATTCTGAGTGTATGTACATGTCTATAAATACGGTAAAATTTGGTTTGTATTGCTATATGTTTTGATAATACGTGTCATTTGTTTGTTTTATGTTGCATTTTCGAATTATTTTGCATTCAATTTTTTTGTCGGTTTTCTAAGCTTTAATGATGAATTTATTTGCTTTTATTTTGCTATCTGTTAAGCATGATACGTAATTAATATCGATTGTAAGACGAAACTCATTTATCTTAGATGTTCAGTTATGGATTCCGCGCATTGGTACGGAACTGAGCATTGATAATGTTCAATTAATTTATCATTAACTATGTTTATTTGTGGCACAGTTCATCAGGTTTGTAGTATCATTATTTCTGTTATTGTTGTTTTGATTATGATGCTTCACATGCGCTCATCTCCTTCTCTGAGTTGTTTCTTTTCTTGCCTGTGAATTTTTTGAAAGCTCATTCATTTTTTTGTGCTTGCATCTGTTACAGTTGTGTCTTCTAAGCATCAAAGTTACCATTTCATTTATTTTTCAACTTTTGTGTGTACTCTTCCTCAGATTAATGTGTATTCTCACTGTTTCATATGCCTATATTGTCACGAAACGAAATGCCTACTTCATTCAATTTATTTATTTTGAACTTAATTTTATTGGATCGATTAACATTGCCTTTTTTGTAGTTCATCACTTTATGATGATTTATTCGTGTTCGTTAAGGACTATGCCTTATTTATAGCATTATATGTTTGTTTCGATTAATTCAAGAGAAATTGCACTCGCCTTATCATATTTTTAGAAATGTTGATGGAGAAGGACCATTTAATAGGAATCCATTGATTTTACTGAAACCCTGATTCAGTCAGTTTCGTGATCCATGACTAATGTTTATACAAAATACCGTCCTCAATCTCGTTCAAAATTTTCAAGTTGCAAAATTGCAATTCGATTAACTCCGTTTGCATTCTTTACGAAGCTCAATAACTTTTCGATGATCTGTTATATGGAATAATGTTGTTTGTGTATTTACATTTGTTTTATACTAATCTCATCACTCAGCTTTACCGAACACCATTTACAAATTTTCATATTGATTTTCAGTTATCATTCCACTGCTATATTTTATATTCATGTTCTCAAGAAAATCGTTTTCACCTCGATTTCGTTTATTAATTATCTCTTTTTTGATTTGCTCATTTAATAACTATACATATTGTTTGTTTCATTGTTTTTTTTGAACGTTGTTTCGTTTATCGATGTATCAATCGATTCATTATTGTCACATCAGTTACTTCGATCAGTTCTCATAGAATTGGTTTCAGAAGTATCACTCAGCAATAAAATTAAGCCTATTGTCTTTGCAAATAAGAACACTCCAAAACAGTATCCATACACACTTGAAACATAAATAGATTATTGGATTATCATAGATGCATGGAAGAATGACTGTGGAAATCAACTGAATGAACTGATTAGTCGTAGGTGGAAGAATTTAACTGAATGAAATGCATAAGAGACGTGATGTTGTTATGTAGTCATTGCTTCGGGGTCATTGATAATGTTTTTGTGATTAATAATCATTCGAAGATGTCTTAACCCAATTAAACTTCAACGAATCGACGTAAATAAGTCACACTCGGTAACTTTTCCAAACATATGGACCTATATTAACTGTTCGTAGTTATCATCAGCGATTTTTGGTCGATGAATTATCATCAATTTTGTCCATGTGCTTTTCTTCACACGTTTTTCCTTTATCTCTATTACGGGTTATTTTTTGCGATGAATTTGATGCCTTAATTGATTGCAATAGAGTGTAATGTTGATTAATTCTGATTAGAAATACATTTGAGTTGATCGAATATTTCAATGGCCAACCTAATGTTGATGAAATTAAAAAGTGATGTATATCTGTTACAAAGTGCTTGCTTCATCGAGAAAATTAACTATTATGTGGTTTGTGGTTGGTTTTTGTGATGAGTATACAATCATTTTCAGATATAAAATCATTTTATTGGAAGATTAATGCAATGTTGCTGCGTATATTCTTGCAAGTGTTTTTGATATGCATACTGATGGATAGTATTTCGTTGTCATGCAAAATCAAATTAGCAGTCATTTCAAAATCGAAGAATCCATTCAAATTTCAAGCAATTGTCCCATCGATTAAACTGAAAACAGACGTCATCGAATTCGATCAAATGAATCAAACTCGTATCGCGACGGTTGGTACAATTATTTATTCATTCACGTTTTATTCATCTTCTTCATTGTTTCAAGCTGCACGATATCTCCAAGTAAATTATTGAATTTTCTACTATGAATACGTGTGGGCATATTCTCTATTTAGCACATAATTAACATAGATTATTTTTTGACGCCATTACAGAAATAATACCTAAAGTATTACTTAAATCAAGGATTCACTGCTCCTAGGTGAAAGGAAAAAAGTGCTTTAACAAACGTTGGATTTTGAAAACGTGGAAAAAGGATGGAGCAGAATGGATAGAAGCCATAGAGAGGCGTATGAGGCTGGATGGAAACGGTAAACTGAACGTTACTGTTTCCGATGATTACGTTCCTTTACTGCACTCTCGCATCGGTGTCATTTGTGCTCTAGGTCCATGCTAATCATTGTTTTCTGAGATTTTCGAAAAATTCCTACCTCGTGACTTAAGACTGTGATCATTCCTTCTGCATGTGGCAGTATTTCTGGGTGTGTTCTTGATAGATGCACTACCGCTCCGCACCTCCACCAACAAATCGGTTTAAAACAAAGTGCAACCGCTCCTAAGTAACACTCAGCCTAAAAGTTCCGAGTGAGTTCAACCTCGTTAACACCGCATAAGTTTTAATCGAATCGCCACCGTCATTTTCCATATTTACTAACCCCCCATTTTGTAGCATTTTCGCCCCGTCAAGAACCTCTGGTTCATTGATATCGTAATATTATCTCTATTGTGGCGAATACTGTTCGGAATATGTTTTCATTACAATATTTCCATTACAGCAATAAACTGTGTACATATTAAATGACTTTATGCTCAATGGCTGTAACAAAAAATCAGCTGATGATCGTTTAATGCAAATTGATTGTAATCTGAAACAAGAGCATGGGTGCAAACTTTATTAATCGTAAGTGAAATAACAATACATATTCACAAATATATCACAAATTTAGTCATTTTCAGTGCAATTTCATCATCATTATGCATATGTTACTATTACTTTTATTATATCATTATTATTATAACTATTATGTGAGTTATTATTATTATTATTCAGCTAGTTATTATTATTATTATTATTATTATTATTATTATTCAGCCTAGAAATCCAAATAGTGATTTTGCAACTTTTTGTAATACTGATTGGCGAAAGAAGTGCGAGCATTACAACTTCACGATAATCTACTATCATTAAATGAAAAAATGAAATAGATATAGCTGCAAAGCATCACTTAAAAACATTAATGAGGACAACAAATTAATGGTAATATGCAGATCAAATTGAGTAATCAATGTCAATTTGACTATCGTTAATACAAACATATTTTGCGGAAAGCGAGTGCTCAACCTACATTCAAGAAGCAATAAAAATTGAGCATAAAAACCAAATAAAACACTCAACCAAATATCACAATAGATCAACTCATACATTGAAAAAATAAATGAATCTTCGATAAGGACAGATTCAAATAAACTCAAATAATTGTGCTTTTTATAGTGAAAGCATCAATTCAATTAAGATAACAAATACCCTTGGTTCAAGTCTGAAATTTTGACTAAATCAGTCAATTTGGAGTTTTAATGTTACGTAGATTTTGCTGTAAAGGGAAATTAGTGCTAATAATCATATACCAAGACAGCTGGTCCCGGAGTAGTCAATAATAAAATTCGTAAGCGAGACAAAACTTTTTGCAGACGATTCAAAGACAAAACTGAGTAGTTGAAAAACATGAAAGACTGCGCAGTGGATCGCAAGGCAATATGAACAAAAAAAAAACAAATTGATGGGATACGATTGGAGTTTACGAATGGATAATTAATGAACTGACGATGAAATGAGTTTAGTTCTTGCAGTGGATTTTATGCAAGTTGATTCTTCATGTTTTGATAAATAACTCTTAAGTGCAAATCTTTTGCCACATCTATTACATACATACGGCTTTATTCCTGAAACAGCATTCATTATTCATTTGCGAAATTCGTTGAACGTAAGAAACAAAAACGAATACGTGTGGGAAATTCGAACCAAATGATTGATCGCTTCAATGAATTAGAAACAAAAAAGTCGCATCATTCGTAAATAATTAGTCAAAAATATACTGATTGTGAGTGAACTTTATCGATCAGTTTTTGAAGAAAAGTTTGGGAGTAAAACTATCCAGTTCATCTGATTAAAAATTTTGGCTCAATGAAAGAAATCGAATATGCCATAAAACGCATTCAGAACCCCAAGAAACACCAACC